CATGGCACCTGATCCCACCTCTGATGTTTTAGAAATCCGTGATCGCTCTGCCTCTGATTTGTACTGTTTGAATGGAATTTTAAGCTTGAATGCTCTTCGTTATATATGCTCTCCATATATTTCATTTCAGGACTGGTGTGTTTAATAGATGCAAGTCTTTTTGACTTCTAAAGGTGAATGAATATTGAGAGGGAACTAATTGACAACACATGCACTTGTTCTGTTTTTACAACAATTTATAAGCGTATTTGTTTTAAATAAATTGAGCCATACCAATATACATTATAGAGTATTTAAAAAAAAGTAGTTCCTATGATGTATTCATGTTTACATTCACAGGCTTTAAGGCAATACCATATATAACCGTAAATGCTACATTTTGCGTCTTTAAATGAAATTTGCTGTGCATTTTAAAACAATGTGCTATTGAATAGTGAAATTTTTATAAAGCGGCATAGACCTTTTTGGACTCAAAAGAAACCCTTGTGAATGATTTTACAATCGTCATAGACTTGTAATTAATACAACAATTTGAAGAAAAAAAACCTTGCGAACCAAACAAGATAGTGTAGCATGTTGTAACAGAATTACTTCACTTGATTTCATATCCAATTGAAAAGTTAAAATTTCTGCAAAGATTATTTTCCATGAAAGAGAGAAAAAACTTCAAATTCACTAAAACATCAAACACCAGAAATCTTACCAACCGCCTGTTTGATTATTTGTGCTTCTTAATTCCCTGAAGTTTGGATTGTATAGTTAAATGATCGCCCAGATGTAGCTCCACAAAAAAAAAAAATCTTTGGTACGCAAACTGCTCATTAAGTGGCTGCAAAACAAAAGTACACTTGTACTGTGTTTATGAATTGAAATGATCTACCTGGTCTCTCTTTTTCTTTTACTTTTGTTTCTTTTCAACCTATAAACTTAAACTTGTATTGAGGAAGGAGAGTGCTGGGTTGTTAACTTATTTAATAATCGATATAATAATATGACAATTACACGTATATCCAACGTATATACATGAATATACATTTTTGCTACTAATTTACATATACTAATAAAAGAGTCCATTACATTTTTAGTGATTTTGAAACCATGTCGGTCTATTATGTACAAACATTTATTTGTCAACATCTCCCCCTCCCCCCAACATGCACATAAAATGGGAAAAAAATTACATGTATACTTTTAATTTTTTTTTAATTAAACAAATGTTGATCATACAATGTCAGTCCTTAGATCTTGCAGCTTTTTTCTCTAGAATTATATTATACGGATTTGATTGTTATACATTTACTGGTAAGAGTTTGCTAACAAGGTGTTTATATAACTAGAAGGAAATAAACGAATACTGTGCAGGAATAAGATAAAAATAGGCCCAATAAGGTCATATACATGTACATGATAGGATTTATTTGCATTACTTCAAGTAGATACATATATATGATAGTACTTTGTATAACTGATTTTATATGTACATTTATCACTTTGTGTTGTTGTGGTTTAAAGATAACACTATAACTGTTTAAGTTACATGGGCTATATAAATTTCAGTTCCTGTTAACGTTTGTACAGAAATAAAAGAGGTATGTCCAATATGTTATTTTTCCATATATAAACCTGAAAATAAGAATTTCTTTCAGTTATTTAATATTTTTTAATTTCAGGATCTAAAAGGACTTATTAATCACAGCGTCTCAAGAACTTTCCATGTTTTCTTGGATAATTTTTCATTTACTAATAATGGAATGTACAGTGATGCAAGCATATAACACAGTCAGAGGGACAGAAATAGAACAGAGAACTGTGCCAAAGACAAAAGATGAGTGTTTAGCCCTATGTGGGGACAGCTACTATAAATGTGCGTTGGGCGATTGTGATCAGGACAAGAATAACTGCGGAGATAGATGTACTCTATCATTTCGTCATTGTTATAAAGATTGTGATAGATATATTATCCTAACTACGACAACTACAAAAAGTTTACCCGAAAATGAAAACGATTTTTTGGAAGATGACGGTATCTAAAAGGATTAGTATTTTTGAGCTTGAACCCGTTTTAAAGAGTAACATTTCTTTTTTTTTTATTTTTGACTACTTCCGGTGAAACCGGAGGGGACTATAAGTTACCTTCGCGTCTATACCTTCGTCTGCCTGTCTCACTTGGTTTTCGCACTTTTTTTAAGCGCTTGCAGATAATGAGCCGAATTTTGGTTTGTGAGTGTATCCTGATCAGTTACATATCAAGTTTACATTTCGTTCCACTTCACTGATTTTTGACCTTTACTATCTCAATTTTTTTTTAGGGTTTTCCGCATTTTTTTTGTTGTTCTGAACGCTTGCAAATAATGAGCGGATTTTTCGTATGTGACTTTACCTTAATGAGTTATAGATCAAGGTTGCATTTCGTCCCGCTTACTGAATTATTGCAGTTTTGATTTTTAATGGGAACCAGATTACACTTGCCGGTAGGGGACTAATATTGGTGAGGCAATACTGTCAGAATGTTTTTTTCTTTTAATTTTCATTTCAAGAATACCATCCTTAAAGAGGGTCATAATTCTCTAGCTTCAAAAACATCAAATATCCATTTTATTGTAAAATATGAAGTGGTGAAAGGATATATTTAATCATAAGGATTAATGTTTAAGTTGAAAGGGATATTTAAACTTAATTGATTTGAAAAAAAATCCTATTCATTTAAAGTACTCTTCAAGTACAGAAGAAGCTAAGGACATATTCAATAAACAATACATTTGACATGTATAGAATTTTTTTTTCTTAAGGTATTGAGTAAGAAAAGAATACATATTTGTTGTGCATTCAAATTCATTGAATCCAGGGTTATAATGTACAGAATACTTTCATGCTTAATGCATGTAATTGGGTTTTTTGTGTTTGATATTTTCAATTATGTTGTAATTAAAAATTGTTGACAAAACCTATACCTCTCAGAATTGTTAAATACTTTACGTTGCTTACTGCCGTTTGATATATATATATACAATGTATATTAACAAGATTACATTTTTAGTTTACGTAAAAGATTTTATGGTCGTTGCCGGTAATCGTTCTTTGAAATATTTTTTGCTCTAGAAAAGAAGTACTACTGATAAAAATTCTACATATGGTACATAATTAATTATATTTTGATATGTCTCTCAGCTCAGCTGGTAAGACAAATCTTTTTTTGGGTGGTGGGGGTGGTGAGTTGTGTCTTTTATCAGATTGAAAAAAGTAAAGATAACGAACAGTAATCAATTTAATTTTATTTAAGTCCCCTTCAAGAATTTTTCACTCATTGTGATTAATCTAAAAAAAAATATCTATAAACAATACAAATCTATGAAGAGGGCATAAAACAGGAACTCCTGGAAATTCCAGAGGTGGGATCAGTGCCTAGGAGGAGTAATCATCCCCCATTGACCTGTCACACCCGTCGTGAGCCCTGTGTATTGATCAGGTAGACGGAATATTCCGTAGTAAAATTCAGAATAAAAACAAAGCCCTTACAATAGTCAATAAACAAGTCAGCCAAACTGGTAATTTTTGAGATGGATTACTGTTCTTTATCTTGACTTTTTCATTTGTTAAAAAAAACTGTAAGAGAAAAAGATTCAACCTTTAATAATTGTTATGCATATAAGCACCTTCTATTATTGAAGACAATTAATATCTCTTTAATCGACTTAGTTCAGTAATACGACGAATTTTCTCGTTTTTCTCATTTTACTGTCAATCATTTCTATACAGTTTGTACATGTATTTCGATGAAACAAAAAAAGTTATGAAAAAAATGATTAGTGAAAGGATATCTTTAAAAATATTATAAATAATCAAATGTCGAAAACTTGACGATTGATGTAAATAGTCTAATAGTTTAGCTTCAGAATAGGTTTTCCTACACTTCAGAGTCACTTTAGATTCAGTTTCCCCGTCCTAAAACGATAAGGATTCAATAACTTTTTTTTCCGTCACGACTCTTTACAATTCTAGGACTCAATTATAATCTCTCCATTTTTTTAAAAACTTTTTGCTAGCCCTTTGTTTAAAACATGACTGTTGGTGGCACTTGGAACGTTTTCACAGTCTGATGCTCACCATTAAAAATTTTTGGCATCACTGATCAAAGTGCAGTTTTGATAAATGATTATCGTCCTCTACTTTTACCTTTACTCTGGTTGGATTTGTTTGTTTGTTTTGTTTTTATTTTTTTGTTTTTTTGTTTTGTTTTGTTTTTTTTTGAAAACCTTAGATACATTTACTCTGCACAGTGAATGTTTTGAATGTTCTAGGTCTTGACATGAATTCTCATCAGTTTTACAAAAGATAAAAGTTAGGGTCTTTGTTCCGAATCCCAATAGATGTTTAATTCATTTTCCTTTCGAAATGAAATACCTTGATGAAATTAATAATTTGCATATTTTGCGATAAAAATATAACATTTGATTCAAATAATATTCCAAGTAATTCAGGGTCCATCGGGACTTACCATGTATATACCTAGTGTGAGAGATTTTCAAGAATTGATTTTGAGATTATGCCGGTTACCATTTCCATCAAAACATTAATATACCATTAAAATGAAAAATAACTTTGTAGCTTTTATTTATTTACATGTTTGTTATACATACTGTAGAATCTTTTAATTTGTGGAGACCAATTTTTGTGGTTTTCCTAAAATTTACAGGTTGGGGGGGGGGGGGGGGTCGTGCACTCACTTATATCTGCACAGTATCAACTCTTAAACCCCAAATTATTAATTTGTTGAGGGTGTGAATTCGTAGATGCAAATTACTCACGAATTCCACAAATATTAAGTAACCACGAAATCTGATGATTCCACAATATATAAAAATTGTCAGCTTAAGACGTAGATAAGAAAGAAAAAATAAACATATACATGTGCCAATAATTTTAATTATAAGTCACGTATAAGCAAATTATTTTTGGAATTGAAAAAAAAAGTTGCAAAATCAATGCAATAGATACAGGTATGATAAACAAGAGAAACTTTATTATTCAGATGCCATTTTTCGACCTAGAATAAAAAACCTGAGACATTTTTTGTTAGGTATATTTGCTTCAACACCCCGTTTTCGTGTATCTATATCTCCATATCGTTCTACTTCTGTCAGTTGGAATGTCTTTCTCCTCCACAATATATTGACCAGCACTGACGTACTGACTCCCAGTAGACACAATACCAACATGACCACTGCCAGCATCTACTGGAAAGGCTATAACATCTCCTTTCTGTCTGTTGCTGAAACTTGGGATATGTTGATAGCAACCGGTATTTAATATGTATTCAGAATTAGACTTCCCCCATTCATTGGCACCTATGGCGGGATAAAAGAAGGAATCCCTGCAAAAGAAAAAAAAGAAGAAAATATCACAAATCCGTACATCGAATTGATAATAAATCATGCTGAGAGTCATTGAATGTTTTGACCTTTTTGGACGTTTCGCTCCCACATTTGATAGGACATCATCAACAAAGATATTACATTTGTTTTTACCACAAAGAAGTTTATGACAGCTTGCATAACTCCATTTGTCACTGTTGATATGTTTCCTTGCCTCTCGTAAAATATCGTCTGCAGTAATGGCGTAAGATGACTATAAGTACAAATGAAATGACAACTTGAGAAAAGTTTAAATAAAAAAATATTTGCATATCAATAATACAAATGGTAATTAAAAGAGTATTTGAGCATTCGCTTTTTTTTCGTCAAAGACGATAACGAATGTTATAATATCATCATTTAAATAAAATCTGATTTGTTCTTCACAGGTTGAAATATACTTAAGCTTGTACATACGCTTATTAACAATATTATTTGAAAATTTTGAAAGTACTTACCGTAAAGCAAAGAAATTTAAAAGTGCACAGGACAAGAATTTTATTAGTCATTCTGAAAAAAAAAATAACAAGAAAGAAAAACCTCACTTAATAATAAAATAAATCACATACATGTAGTTATAACTTCGTATCAAAATTTATAGTTAACTATGATGTGTCCTTTTAAAAGATTTTTAAAATTTTTTAAAAATGAGTGCCATTTTAGTGTTCAGCACAATTACACAGTAAAAGTCTCAGAAACTGATCTTTGTACGTGGTACATGTACGTTAGGGTATATATTTATCAGATGATTCTGTTGAATGAATAAGAATTATCATTCTAGGGAAAAATTCGTAGAAATATCCATGTAAAACGATATTCTTGAAAATAAATGTGAACATATAGTAATTAAATATTTTTTTAATTACATTTATGTTAAAAGAATATGATTTTATGCTATGTTGCTATGTATCAGAAAATGTGTGATATTCTATAACAGTTTTAAAAATTTCTTACCTGTTTATCTTTCTGCAATGGAACTGGGACTCAAACTCTCTTTATAAACTATGAAGTAGAATTCATTAACCAAGAAGCATATAAATTTTGTATTTTTTTTAAAACGTAATACTGTTATTTATCATGTCAAAAATTGGTTTTTCCAATTAAATTTTAAAAAGATGTAAATTCTCATGTGATAATATGTAAATGGGGTGTTTTTATTCCTCGACTTTAAGCATTATATGCTTGTCTTTCTGCACAGTAATAACTGTAATTTTATGCGGAAGATTATGTAATTCAAAATTATTTATTCTGTCGGTTTTTGTAAATATTTCTTTTTAATCATTCTCATTTTTAACAATAATTTGCCTTGTTTTATTGTAACCCCCCCCCCCATGTTCTCTTAGGTAGTAAAGTGTAAATATATATGCTAAGGGTTTGGTCATTGCTTATTCCATAGGTATGTTAAAAAAAAACGTTTGATGAACTTGTGATTTGAATGATTAAAAACATAAGCAAAACAATTTATTTTTCTTTTAAAAATTTATTACACGGTGTTTTCAGGTGAGGACCATACTTCATAGTTATTTAATATATTTTAGACATTTTAAACTAATCGTTGGTATCGAACATCAAAAAATTTAAATATGTAAAGAAGTGCAATGTTTTGTCTTATACATCTTACATCTAAAGACAAAGTGGATGTAAATATTTTAGATAGTAGCAATCAAGTATTAAATTTAATTTTCTGATCAATAAATCTCTAGATTTACAAAAAAAAAGTGACAAAAAAAAATTATATATCATATTTTCAAGATGAAGAAAATATATAAATCGAAAGGACAATATTATATAAATATTATATAAAAAGAAACCTTACCAAACTGTTTTGTTTGCTGCAGATCTGCGTCAAACCTGCTGCAAGGTTGCTGGAAACACAATTGTTGCTTTTTTGTTGGAAGATGTTTGTAGCTAGCTTTAATATTGCGACTAACTTTAAGGCAATGGCTGCACGCTTGCAGAAAATTTTGAAGAACTTTACACGTTTGAAGGAAAATTGCAGGAAACACATGAGCAACCGATCGCGAACGTTTGAAGGAAGCTCGCGGGAACATTAAAAAAGTCGAATTATCCTCTGAAATACAGAAGATACACAGGACAACAAAGACTTTACAATTTAGAAATTTTGATATGAGCCTGTACACCTTTCGGAATTGTGTTTGAAGAAGATAATCCTTTTTAAATTTATTCAAAGGTCTTGTTCTTCCAGGCACGTACATGTACTACGGCACACACCATATCTGATCGGTAAGATTGTCGTTAATTTCCATTTCAAATTTCAAACATCGGTTTTTAAGTTTTTCATCCGAAAAATCCGTGAACTTTCACCTCTAGTGCCGAGCATTTGGTGAAGGAACAGTCACTATACCTACGACTACGTCTCGATCAAGAGGCGAATGTCCTACCATGAGGCTACCGTAAGCTATACTTTAAAAGATTTTTGATCATATCTTCCTATATATGCCATTTTGAAACTTTGATCGCCCATTGATCCATCCTTTCCCCATGGTAATGATTTGAACAAACTTGAATTTGCACTACCTTGAGATGCTGGCAGATTAATAACACTAATCATGGTCCCTGTGTTCTTGAGAAGAAAATTGTTATTGTCCCATGAAAACTTTGACCCCCAATTGTAGCTAATGCCCATTCTCGGAGGTCATATAAATATACTAATCATGGTCCTGCTGTTCTTGAGAAGAAGACTATTTATTTCCTAAATATTTCCTTAAAAACATTTTTCTCCTATTGTAGCCCAAGCCTACCCTCGGGACCATGATGTCATTAAACTTGATCGTGCACTAGGAAGCATTCATTTCAGTATATATTTTGGCCAGGTCGTTCTTGCGAAGAAGATTATTTATGACATACAATTTTGCCTTTTCTTGATTATCTCCCCATTTAAAAGTCAGTGAATTTTAATTTGAACAACCTGAATCAATTTTAACATAGGATACTCGTGCCAATTTTGGTTGAAATTTGCCCAGTGGCTCTGAAGAAGAAAATGAAATTATAAAAGAAAACTAGAGCGAGCTCGTTGCAAAGCAACGAGTAGGTCTTCCGTTGGAGCTGCGGAAGGAAGAAGTGACCTTGAGTCAATGTCATGCCACATTCTAAAGTTATACATGTAAGCAATCTTGTAAGGGGAAGCAACTTACAATATTTCGCTAGGAAAAATTGTAAAGGAATGTAGCTGACCTTGAACATTCCAAATGACCTTGCGTCAAGCCATGACACACTCTTGTCATAAAACCCAATCTGTGTGTTACCGACTTGAAAAGTTCACAGTGACACGTTCTTTTAGTCCATACATACAGTCAAAACACCTTATCCTTAGTGACCCTGAACTTGAGTCAAGGCCATGTCACACTCTGCATGATACCAGCAATATTTCACTAGTACAAATACAGTAGCGAAATTACAGTTTCTCTGTCGGTGACCTTGACTCGACCAAATGACCTTGCATCAAGGCCATAACACACACTGGTTAAGAGCAATCCCAATCTGTGGGTTTCTGAATGGATAAGTTCAGCCATGTTTTTTCAGACCATACAGCGAGTCGGAATAATTTGTTAGGTTCAACACAATGATTAAAAAATTCATTGAGAATGTTTTATGTGCAGTTTGGATAAGTAGTAAAATGTGGAGATCGGTCCTTTGGATGAGACCGTATAAGGTCTCGTGTCGGGGTAAGTGCTAGCATGAAAAGGATCTCTCATGCTATAAATTTTGAATTTACCGGGTGACAGTAAAAACAAAATTTACAACATGACATGTAAATTTTTTATTTACTGACAACCGGTAAGTTCAAAATTTACAACATGACAGATCCATGGCACTTGATTCTACCTCTGATTTCAAAAGGTTTGCACTGCTCCTGATTTGTATTGTTTGAATGATCTTTTAAGCTTGAATGCTGCACAGGTGCTTGTGGACAGGACCCCCATATACACCCTGGGTCCAAGAATATTTTTATTCGACTTTTTCCGTACATTAATCTTCTAGTACACATTTACAATGTATTCCATATGAAAAATCCAAAAAGTAACGTAGAACAATTAATGTTCTATTAAAAAATCATACCTGCGGTATTATGAAATAGAGAAGGTAAGTCACTTCCATTTATTAACACTGGACCCCTCTTGGAAATCGGGCCTAAAATATCATATACCTACTACATGTTACCAAAATATGTTATTATATCTTGTTTCGGTAGATATTTTTGCGTGGACCCTGAGGTCCACGCAGAAAATATATTAGCGGAGTTAAACCGGATGCCATGGGCTTACGTCAGGCTACGCATGCGCGAGGATGTTAGAGAGTTCGCCTATAAGATAACTTGCCCGTAGAACAATTCGCCCTCTTCGAATTAGAATATGCCAATCATTGGCAAACCTCGCTCTAAAATCTGCACATCGTATTTATGTATTCTTTGGCGTAACCAAGATCTGAATTTCTCTTTAATGCATATATCCTTATATACAAACTAAATTCTATGGTACAAGCATTTTAAATAAGTAGGAAGAACTTATAGAGATAGCTTAACAGCTTGAACATGTTGAATTAAAACCACTCTACGTTTTAAAAGATAGTCATTTGCCATGTTTACCGGCATTAGTTTTGTGCATCAAGGTTTGCAAAATTATTTGATAGACAGCAATCCAAATATAGCTTGATAAAGGCCTGTAGCAATGTGTTTCATGTGGGGGAGAGGGAGAAACATCCCAAAAAAATTCTGCGTACTACAGATCTGTGCTACACGTGTACCATCTATCTTTCCAATGATAGGATATTTCCGTATAAATCTAGTACAGATGTCAAGTCCTATCGTTAAGCATTACATGTATCGAAATAGCCCGATTTTTTTCAGTTAAATGACAAAACTATAGGCCAATCGGGAATAAAATTTAACAAATTTGCTAGAAAAGTACAATCACTCAAAGTAGGCAGATCATTGTAAAAAATGTTAACGAAAGGTAAACCTGTGCCACCTTTCAGAGTAACCAATGAACTCGTCCATGGATGCATTGACGGTCGTTTTAACAAGAATAGATATGGGTTACCCCATATCCAAAATATTCGACTTTTAATTTACTCCAATTTTCACTAGAAAAAAAAACTGTACATGTTATGAAACTGGTGTATAGTTCTTCATGTCTGTAGCAAATACCGTCACCAGTCTAAGCGTCACTAGCAAACAGTACACACTCCTGTGCTTGCAAGACCAAATAGCCTAGGTCTTCACAGTCAATTGCATCTTCTCAGACCTTCTGCCGAGAAGTTACGATTGCAGGTGTTGTATGTTAACCATTCCGTTATTTAAAAGAGACAGAGAAAAAATACACACACACAAAATTAATCTTTTTTGTGTTTTTAAATGATCGAGTTAATCGATAACTTAGCATTAATTGTTTAAGATAACTCGAGACCCTTTGGTAAAGGGGGGGGGGGGAGTTCTAAGTCACACCACAGGCACTTACATTCAAGCCCGTAGCAACGGTTTTCAAAGGGGGCAACCTCCAAAATGAGTTGACAAGCAGAAATAAATAAATAAATTAACAACCTGTGCACCACCCTGTAAAATCCTATTTAGGGAGGGGGGGGGGGGCTTCGTCTAACTTTTCGGTACATTTTGATTTCTTTTAAATGTTTGATTTTCTGTATTTTGAACCTTTCCGCAACAAAAAGTGCGAGGGAGCTTCCAGTGTAAATTAAAAGATATATTCAAATTCTAACAAAAGATTTTTTTAAAGAAGAAGTGAGCCCCCCTCCCCCACATTTTGAACCTTTCTCTTTATTTATTAAAATATCACCATAATATAAGGAGATAAATATTGTCCTTTACAAAAATTTTGATATTTCTTAGGCAAAATTTGTACACTAAATTAATTGTCATGTACAAATTTTGCATGAGAAATATCAAAATTTTTGTAAAGGATAATATTCTCTTATGGATACTTCCTTTCATGACTTTTT